ACACATTTAATGCTGTCAGTTTTACTCCTTTATCTATTTAGGACCTGTTCATTCCTACTGAAAAAAAATTATAATGTAGTTATTGGTTTTCTCTGCCTATAGCAAATTAGTAGCAATAAATTAGAAGTAGGGAAGAGAAGAGGTACTTAACAGTGAGCGAGGAGATAGAAAAACTAACATAGACATACATGAAACATTTTTTTTTAATGAAAAAGCATTATCACCTAAGAAATTTCAGGACACAGGCACATTCCTTTTGATTACATTTTATTCTAGTATAACACTATCAAAATAATAGTGTTATTACCACTGCCCTTAAATCACTAAGAAAAAAATTCCTCTATACTCAATATGCATTGCTGAAGAAGGCAGATAAGTAAGTAATATACTTTAGACAAATTTTTATCCTGTTGGATAAAATAGTCTGGTACTTAAGAGAGTGAGTTTAAGTAATCTGGAAATTTCATTCAGAGAGAAGACAGTTTTGCCAACCAGACAGACAAAGGAAACTCTATGTTATTGTGCACAGGAAGGCCAAATAATATAAAAAATTAAGCTTGTGAAGGATCTGATATCCCTGGAAGAGGAGAACATGTTATCATTAAAGGTTATATAAATTCTTAGAGGAAAATTACAGTTATATTAATTGATGTTCACCCCAAGACTCAGTGAAGAATCGAGGGCTTTCAACTCAACTCCCAAACTTGAACTTTATGAAAAAGATTTACTGGCAAAATCAGGTGACACATTTTTAACATATAGACGGTTGATAAGAGAAAGAAGATTCTAGATAGTGGAGATAAAATTACTACTTTTTTGCTTCTGATTATTCTCCCCCTACGGCAACACACAATCTTGAAATTGCTAGAGCATTTATGGGGTTTCCTACTCCTGGAGCACCAACACAATGAGTCACACAAACCTAGCAGTTGTGTACAGTGCAGGGCACACTGTAATAGCTATAGTCTCTGCTATCATCCACAGGTTGGAGGAGCCATCAATACCTTCTTGGATTCTTTTTATACTCACAGCTAATATCAGTATGCTCCACCCCAGATTCAGGCAGAGCCAAGGCTGAATCCTGGCAAGGGACCTTTCTCTCACTTCCCATTGATAAAATGAAAGACGGGGCCAGATTGTCTCTAAAGCCTATCTCAGTTCTAAGATCCTACGAACCTAAAAACAATTATGTTTATTATTATAAGTCATGATAGCTACAATTTAACAGTCTTCCAATTACCTATTTGCTCAAGTTTCCCTTTAAATTCCCTATACTGAGCATTACTTTAAAAATATATGAAGAATATCTCTAATTCTATGTGTGGAATTTGTTTAGATAAACAAATAATTTTAAATACTAGATTTTTTTAAAGCAGCAACTTTTTTTTAGTATATTAAAATACAGGTCAGACAATGTATCTGACATATACAATAAGTCTCTGAAAATGATTTAAGACCAAGTTGCCTATAATTAGTTATGAAAATATTGCAAAGAGCTGAACCAAAATAAAACTAAATAAGCCAGCTAGCTACTAAACTACACATATGTCCTCAAAATCTTACGAGAGTCAAATATTCCAGTAAAAAATAACAGAAGAGATGGAAACACAAGTTTCTTATTATCACACTTCATATGTTATAAAACATAATAGCTAACTTATTTTTGGCAAAATGATTAAGGATTGTAACATTCTGGCTTACACAAACATATTTGTCAAATGCATCTCAAATGGAGCATGTCATGCTAACTTCAGGCATGCAGCACTGCAGCGTCTTAGAGTAGCCCAGAGACACTGAAATTTCAACACTTTGGCAGGGATCACACCACCAATATTCACTGACCCAGGTGTTTAATGGGGGCTGGGGATGGGGTAGGGAATTTCAACAATGTAGTTAATTGAAACCAGATAAAGCTTCTGAATAATAATTTAAAAATCATACAGATGTTCACTGCCCCTCCCACCCCCCAAAAGAGGTGACCTTTTGGACAATTTATTGCACACATTATTTTCTAGCCTACGCCCTTTTTAAGAAGATAAAACACTGCTTCACATGTCTTTCTGAAAACTCTATAATCAGTTTGAGTTATGTCTCCACAAATAAAGTAGGTTAAGCTCAAGTTTCATCTTTGTTTCCCCTTTTCACCACTATTCCTGCAAAAGCAAGGACACCTGAAGGCAGGACAATAATTAGAAAGTTATGACGCTGAACAAGCTATAAGAAAGCGCACTAAATTTGAGATGCATTCTACTTCTTTCCCAACAGACACTGTGAGTATGAGCCCAAAAAGAGAGAAGGGTTCAAGACAATGTGTTGAACAATCGTTTTCAAATACACAAAAGAGAAACCACACATCACATGCAGAATAGATCCAGAGAAAACACAAAAACCATAACAGATATGTGATTAAGTTAATAATAGCCTGTGATGAGCTCCGAAATGAATATTTTCTTGCCTATGTTTACAGAACAGTAATGCTATTATTTCAGATGTGCAAGTATCCTTTTTAATGTTCTTAAAGTGCTTAAGACACCCGGAACAACTAACAACAAATAATTATATTTCATGTCAGTTTGCTACATTTTATTTGACAGGTCCAAGTCACTGCCTATACCAGTAAATAAATGCAGTAATTTAATTTATGTACATCCTATGTCCATGTGCTTGACTGCACAACACACAAGTGAAATCCTAATTTTAGAGTGGTGGGGTACGCAGCTCTGACACAGCTCCCAATGACCTTCACCTCCTAGTATTCATGCCCTTGTGTAATTATCTCCCCTTGAGTGTGGGCTAGATGTAGTAACTTGATTCTAACAAGAATACAGGAAACGTGATGGGATGTCACTTTGTAACTGGGTTACAGCCTGTGACTTTCATCTGCTAGCAGCCTGTCTCCCTGGCTCTTCTTTCAGGCGTGCTCTAATGAAGTAAGCTAGACAGGCCGACATGTTAGAGAAGGTGGCCTCTACCCAACTGCCACCACTGAATGAAGGCCCTCTGTCTAACAACACTCAAGGAATGGGATCCTGTCAAAAACTACATGAGTGAGCCTGGATGCAGATCCATCTCAACTAAAGCCTTCAGATAAGACTGCAGCCCTGGAAGACATGTTGGTTAAAATCTTGGCAGAGACCCTGAAGCAGAGAACCCAGCTAAGCTGTGGCCAGACTTCTGACCAGAAACTATGAGTGAAGAAATGTATATTGTTTTACACTGCTAAATTTTGGGGCAATTTGATACACAGCAGTAGATACCTAATACAACAGTTAACCTAATGACTGAGACAATGACTAGAGTTATTTCCCTAATAATAATAATAGCTAATACTTATTTGGAACTTTAAAGTTCCAGATATCATTCCTGATGCTTTATATAATTCCTCACAAAAATCCTTTGAAGAACATATTATTATACCCATTTTATAAATGAGGAAACTGAGGTTGAGACTCAAAACTGAAGTAGAGACTTAATAACTTGTCTAAGATCAGACAGACTGAAAAAAAAAAAAAAAAGACAATAAATATTGGAACCTAGGTGTCCTGGTTCTAGAGCCAGAACTCACAGCAACTGTACAAGTAAAACCACTAAGAGGCAGGGCTGGACACCATAAAGATGGCAACCACATGACACAGTATGAGAGGAGACTTCAAAGGCACAAAAGACATTAGAAGCTGTGCAAAATGCTAAAAGCAAGAATAAAGCCTGCATTCTGATTAAGAGACCTTATTTAGGGGAAAAAGAAACCAACACAGTAGACAGTAATACAGAGAACAGAGTACAATCTTGAATTTATTGATTTCACACTTAGAAATGAAAAACACATTTTCTTATACCCAATAATAATTTAAAACCTCCATTTATTATTAAAAACCATAGCAAGGGAGGCTATAGCTGTACATTTCCCAAGGGCAATTATGAGTAAGAAGTAAGTAGGTGAAGCTGGTGAGAAAAGGAGCGAGTGCTTAGTGAGCTCTGAGACCCCACTGAAGATATTTTATCCCATGGAGTGAGAAACAGTCAAAATCCTAGCACAAAGTGGCCATGAAGTGATCATGTCCTATTTTGGCTTCAGATTACTAGGTTTATCAGCACTCCATGCTCCCACACCCCCTGAACTTAAACAAGACAGCAGGTATCACATCTATTGGTTAGACTGTCTCCTCAAGCAGACTCCAGGCTCTCCTACTTCAAAGACTGTCTTACTCACTGGGATGTCCTCAAAACATAGCACAGGATCTGACACATGGAAAGGGCTTAATATATGTTTGTTGAATAAAGAAGAAATGAATTATCTTGTGAATTGCATCCATTCAGTGAGTTATTTCAATGGTATATGTCAGTGGAAGTACAATGTTTTGTTTGGTTTTATATCTCTTATAGTTCACTTGCTTTCCTGGGCACTTTAAATAGGTCTTTATGTCTCTAGCACCTCACTTAATATCTGGCACATAGTGGTACCCAATAAATATTTGCGAGTATTTGTGAGTATGTGTCTCAAAAAGGCCGCCAAGATACAGAACAGGTAAGGAGCTGGACTTATGACTTAATAAAGATGTAGTGCTGCATAAAGACAGCGTCTGCCTGTCAGTGATGATGATGACACATTTCTTCCTTCTGAAAAAGGCAAGAATATTTACAAAATACCTTCCCACAAAAGACAGATTCTTGTCTAGGTCTTACCTAGTGACTACTCTTAAATATTTCTTTATAAAAAACAGCAAATAATGTGTAACATAAGAACTCCAGATAACCCTAGATTCAAAGGCATTCTTTCAGAAACTTCCTATCTCCCTCAGCATTATTCTTTGAAACATTATGAACATACATTCACATAAGTCCATCATAATATGGAGATAAGGATAAAGGCAGCAAGCACATATCCCTCTCTCTGTTCTATTTATCAACCGAACAAGAGACAAAAGAACATAGGAAAGGTGAGGAGGATTTGTGCAGGCCCACATTCCAGCACCCACAGTCACCTCTGGAGATGTACTTACCAGGAGCTCAGGGACTCGCTTCAGCATCTGAAGAGTGAAATAGCTGCCTATCGAATGGCCAATGAGCACAAGTTTCATGTCCTTTGGCACATGAGTTCTCAGGAAAGCTAGTTTGTGCTCTATTTGTCCATTAAGTCCATAGATGTCCTTAATTTCTTGAGCATTTGAATCTAAAAGCAAATTATGGGCATGTTTTCATTCAGTAAGTAAAAGTAATCACTGAAAAATGATCAAGAAAAAGATAACAATCATGATAAAAAGCAGTTACCATTTATCAAAGCCTACAGTGTGCCAGTGATAATATTAGGCATTCATTATATTAACCAATTTTCACAACAATTTTCGGAAGGAAACATTATAACGTTCACCTGATAGGTGAAAATCCCAATGCTCATAGATATTAGGTGACAGATTAACAGTCACAAACTTATTAAGTGGGAGAGATGAGATTCAAATTCAGGTCTCCAAATCCTCAGAGCCCATGAACTTTCAATAATTCTGTGTATTACTGTTAGCTTAGGCCAGTGGTTCTCAAACTTGAGCATACATCAGAATCCCCTTGAAGTCTTGTTAAAACATATGGCTGGGCTCCACACCCCAGGGTTTCTGTTTCAGCAGGTCTAGGCTGGGGCCTGAGAAGCTGCATTTCCAAGTTTCCAGAGGATGTTGATGCACTAGGTCCCAGCACCACACATTGAGTACCAGCTGCTTAGGCTAATTTATATTACTAACAGACAACTAAGAAAGTCCATGATATGACTTAATTATTTTAGATAATCTTTATTTATTTAAGGAATCCAGATGGAAAAACTTAAGTAGAAATGTTAAAAACTGTCCCCCTTTTTTTTTCTTTTATGCTTTAAGTTCTAGGGTACATGTGCACAACATGCAGGTTTGTTACATATGTACACATGTGCCATGTTGGTGTGCTGCACCCATTAACTCATCATTTACATTAGGTGTATCTCCTAATGCTATCCCTACCCCCTACCCCCTCCCCACAATAGGACCCGGTGTGTGATGATCCCCTTCCTGTGTCCAAGTGATCTCATTGTTCAATTCCCACCTATGAGTGAGAACATGCGGTATTTGGTGTTCTGTTCTGGCAACAGTTTGCTGAGAATGATGGTTTCCAGCTGCATCCACGTCCCTACAAAGGACACGAACTCATCCTTTTTTATGGCTGCATAGTATTCCATGGTGTATATGTGCCACATTTTCTTAATCCAGTCTGTCACTGATGGACGTTTGGGTTGATTCCAAGTCTTTGCTACTGTGAATAGTGCCGCAATAAACATACGTGTGCATGTGTCTTTATAGCAGCATGACTTATAATCCTTTGGGTATATCCCCAGAAATGTGATGGCTGGGTCAAATGGAAAACTGTCCCTTTTAAATAACCAGCATAGTCCTGACCTGAAATATCCTCCCTCTCTGTCACAAATGAACTACTTTTCTAGGTTCTTCAAGACCTAATTAAAACTTTACCTAGCTAATCCTCAAGAAAAATTAATGAGCTCTCTTCTGTGCTTAATCAGTACCTCTTTTATTATAGCACTTTATCAAACTTGCATATTGTCTGTTTGTATGTTTATTTCCTCTCTTAGGCTGTGAGTTCCTTGAAGGCAACGTCCATCTTTTCATCTGTGTCCTGTGACTAGTACACAGCAAATGTTATTGTTGAATGAAAATTGGAACTGACTAGATGATCTCTGAGGATGCTGGCCGCTCTAATATTCTATGAGTAGAATAGGTTTTCCCTATGAACATATATGTAACCCAATGACAGGGTGTAATATTTCAAAATATCATAAGACAGCCAACTGCTTCCTAAAATTTGAATGACTGAACACTGAATTTCTTGCTCTTATGACTTGCAAGGCATTGAGGGGAATTATAATCGGTATGGTTCATTCAAAAGGCACCCCAAACTCAGAAAAACTACTCTTCTGTTTTGTTTGTACAGGTTTTTGTTTGTTTGTTTTTAGTGCTTATCTCCACTTTTAGTCTAAGTCCTGTTTATCCTACAAACTTGAAACAAGCATTATCTCCTCTGAGAGACCTTTTTATGATTCATTATGTGAGGAGTAAAGTGGCTGTCTTTTCAGTTTCCACAACATCCCTGTTTATTTATCTCCCTATACTACTCCTAATTCACTCTTAGTTTACAATTCAGGTCTTGCTTAGCACTGCTCCCCAAAGTCCAGCATACAGTTATTGAAAAGCTTTTTCTTGACTCAATGAGGCTTACTTCCCTATTTCCATAGTACTATTAATCTCCCAGGTAAAACATGTTATGCTCTCACTCTTTTTCCCAGGTCAGCTTACAATTCATTCTCTACTTAACAAGAAAGTTAAGCATGAAACAGAACTGGGAAGACAGAGAATCTGGAACCTGACTTTGGTAGGACTTCTAATGGCTCCAAATCCACCTTTTCATGCATGAAATATTACATTTAGGTTTGAATAGTTCATACCCTGCTTCTCTAATCACTCTACCCAAAAGTGATCATATCATTCTTTCATACGAAAACACCACAGTAATATTAATATTTGCGTCCCAAGTTCTTTTTCAAAATATGCAGCATTTGGAAATATCCAAGTTTTCCTTTTGTTGGGACAGTAGGTGCAGTACAAAGATAAACAGGCTCCGGAGATGAGATAAATCTGGGTTTAAATCTCAGCTCAGCATCTCCCTAACTGTGTGACTTGAGCAAATCCTTTAACCTAGGCTTCAGTTTCCTCATACACAAAATAGAGATAATAACGCTAGCTTCCAATGGCTGTTGTTTAAGTGCCTGGCATAAACAGATAAATAAAAGCTATGACTGCCATCATTTAAATTCCTGTTATTTAAGTCCTCCTTCAAATAATACCAAGAACATTTACATGGTTAGAGCAAAGAGAAAGAAAATGAATTAAATATTCTAAAATTTCATTGACATCATAAATAAGGTCCTAAAACATTGTATTTCAGATAAACTTTAAAGGACATTATAAATCAGAATATTTCAGAGGTAGATCTGGCTTTACCTCTGGGAACTACTCAGTAGATTTTCAAGAAGAACACACTACGAGTTAGTGTTTGCCGAAGTGGTAAGATTAATGGGGAAAGTACTTTCTAAAAATGAACAATTGAAAATTTTAATGTGCTATCTTTTAAAATTTATTTTTATTTTATTTATTTATTTTTGAGATGGAGTCTCACTCTGTTGCCCAGGCTGGAATGCAGTGGCACAATCTCAGCTCACTGCAACCTCTGCCTCCCGGGTTCAAACAATTCTCATGACTCCCAGGTAGCTCGGATTACAGACGCACACCACCAGGCCTGGTGAATTTTTGTAGAGATGAGGTTTCACCATGTTGGCCAGGCTGGTCTCAAACTCCTGACCTTAGGTGATCCACCCACCTTGGCCTCCCAAAGTGCTGAGATTACAGGTGTAAGCCATACTCCCAGCCTATCTTTTTTCATGTTACTAATAAATAAAATTCTAGATATTATTTTACTAGCAGAAAATGAAAGGTTAAAAGACTATATACTTGATTACATATTTTTATTCCTATTATTTTAATAGTAATATAATCTGAGAAAATGCTAGTAATTATTAACTTACTCTCCAAAAAATGCAGAAAAAATTACATTCAGTTGTATCGAAACCAGAAGAATGCTAATATGGAAATCATTAATACCATTCTTTCTATGAGGAAACTGTACTCCAAGTTATAATCAACGAAGCACATTTGGAACATAATCTGTTTCTAAATTGAGAACTGCCTGAGTTGGTGGATGACAATACAATCCACCATATTGTTACTAATAAATGGTCCTAAGGATCATATTGATAATTTTCTCTTAGAACCTAAGCCTATTTCTTAGACCCATCTCTATTAGATATCACTTCACAGCTCACCTATCGGTTCTACAGTTTATTTCAAAAGGTATACACAACTTGTTCTGAAATAGTTAGTAGAGAAATTAAATAAAATCAGTACTTCACATTAACTTTTTGTCTAATCGCTCAAATTTGCTAGTCCAGTCATTAAAGTTATTAAGCAGTCATTAAAAGTGCTTTCAATTTTAAATTCCCTTACAGCCTCAGAACACAGATAAATCTCATGATTATTATTTTCTTCATTTTACATGAACTGAATTGACTACTTTGACAGAAAACAGTGACTAATTGGCCCTTGGTATTATTGAAAGTACAGACATAAATAAAATATACTACCTTTGCCTTTCAGGAGATCATAATCTACTAAGAGGAAACAGACATAGATAAAAACGCAATTATTAAATGCCAAAGTTAAGTATCTCAAGCATTTGCTTGAGAAAAGAACAGGGTTTATTGGATCACAATAGAAGGGTAATGGCCCTTTGATTCATAAAAAGTACTGTACCTTTTCCCACTCTACCCAAGATAAATAACTAGAAGATATTCTTTATTACATGTATGTTACTATAAACGTATGCATTTAACTATGTATCTGAATCCAAGCAAAACAGTTTAAATTTAACTGCCATTCATATATATGGCTATATATTGAATAAAAATGTGTAAGTTCAACTATTTATTTTCATGCAAACAGCATTTACAGGTCATCTCTGACCATAGAACAGACAAGACTGGAGATTAGCACTACACATGCCTTTGGTAGGACTGAGTCTGCATACTGTAACTACATCTCACACCAGAATTTGCTCAGCTACTAAACTCTTCCATCCTGCCCCCAATCATTACTCCAAAGCTGTATCTTAATAACTTTAATTAAACAACCTACATGTAAAAATTCAAAGGCTAAAAATAATATTTCATATTTTAAAGAATTCTTTGATCAAGATGAAAATACAGTTTCCTTGTGATGCATGTTCTCACCCATAAGTGGAAGTTGACCATTGAGAACACACAGTCACAGAGAGGGGAACAACACATACTAGGGCCGTTGTGGGGTACGGGGTGAGGGGAGGGAACTTAGAGGATAGGTCAATAGGTAGAGCAAACCACCATGGCACATGTATAACTATGTAGTTAGAAGAAATTTTTTAAAAAAAACAGTTTCCTCCTTAGGTAATTTTTTCAAATATATAAAAAATCATATGTTGTTCACCATGCTATACAAATATATATATATAAACTAAAAATATAAAAAGATACATGAAGTATTTACTCTA